ACCGACATCTGGTGAAAATTTCATGTCATTAGCGCCTCTAGTAATATATTTACTGAGAAAAATGGTGACATGTTCAATACTTATTTTACCTGCTGTAATTTATTGTCATTTCGACCCATAAACGCCATCGGAATATATATTTTTATTAAGTTTATTATGTTTGTTTTATTAGTTCATTGTTCTCCGTGCATTTTTAAAAACAAAAATCAAATTAACGTTTTAGTAAAAAATTTTGAGGGCCCCAAGATACCTCTCGCGGACCCCTGGAGGTCCAGGGACCCCAGTTTGAGAACCTCTGGTTTAGATCAGTGGTTCCCAAAATATGGGATCGAGACCCCATAGGTCACAAAACACCTGAGGGTGCTGAGACAATTGACAGAAATTCTTTTTTAAAACATATAATTAATGTTAAAAAAGATTACATTGATAGTCATAAAGGGAGGGAAAAATACATCAGTTTAATCTATTTGTGTTGTAATTACCCCTTTAGTTCATTTGTTGCCAGTGTTTACTTAGTTCGGTCTTTGTTATGTTATTTTGTAGGGTTCAGAAGCTAACAGTTTAGAGCTTTATTTCATATCTAAAAACAACTCATTTAGGGACATTTAGTTGGTCAGAAACCATTTTTGATGTCTGGTATGCAGCTTAATGTTAAAGCCAACCCAGCATGTAATCAGGTGATCCACTCACTTTATCCTTAAGTCATTTTAGGTCACTTTAATATTGTGTAAGAGTGATTCTGCTATTCTATCCTAAACTCCTCCAGCAACATCTCTATGTTGGGTTCTTTTATGATGGCATTTTTCTATGAGTTACAGATTATATTACCATATTTTTATTAATATACAATTTATTATTATATGTTGTCATAAATTTCCACTCTGAAGGAGATAATCTATGTAATTATAATACAAACAGATAAGCCTATACTATGAAATGAATATTAGTGGTTTCAGAAAGTCCTGCTCTGTTAAAGCAGAGCTTCTCCGTGGAGCCGGACGTCAGAACACGACGTCTGTCGGCGCGTGGCCCTGCGTGCGTAATGATGCACGCGGACCAATCACAGGTGAGATGACGAGCGGCCACCGTGTAGGGTAAATCAGTAAAACCGTTAGCTATAAAAACGGGCTCGGGAATGTAAAAACGAAGGAGAAATATAAAGAAAATGATAATAACATACAGAAATAATAACAGCTGCAGGGCTATGAAAATGGTAAATAGCCTAATTAGCCTGCAGGTGCGTTTGTGAGAACCGAGTCCGGTCTGCTGTGTGTCTTCTGCTGGGTTTAATAAGGTGATATGTAACCTGAAAAAAAGGCTAATAGCTAATGAGTGAAAGGTTCCGGTTCTGTCCTGGAAAACATCTGGATAGTGGAAGCAATTCGGTGGTGGAAAAACCAGCAGAAGGCCTGGTAACACCCAGCTGGACCTTCATCCGATTTAAACAAAATTAATACACTTCGAAAATCAATCAATAAATACAGATAATATAATGTATCTGTGTTTAAAGGGATAACAGGTCACGGGTTTTGGGGCGCGCGCAAACACAGGCAGAAATAAAAGCGTGTCTCTCACCCAGGACAGCACTCTCAGGATGGTCTGCGGCTGTTTGGCGAACGTAATCGGGTCCACAGTGGACCCGGTTCGGCCGGCTCCGAAAGAACCCACTCCGTCCATGTTCCGTGTCTATATATATGCTCCCCTCTTCGCTGCTCCACGCTCCCGGCTCCCCGCGTCAGGAAGGATGGATGCGCTGCTGCTGCTGCTCGCCGCTGTAGGGACGGGTCCTGCGCACTCCCGGGGCCGCGCGGACGAGCAGCACCTACAAACTGCTGGGTGCACAATTTAATGCTGAACGTGAGCGAAGTTATAAGGAAATTTTATGAAGTTTATGAAATAAAAAAGAGTAAAGAAACATTCTGAACTCGCAACTAGAGAAACTGCACTTACGCTCACGACCGCGTAATAATTATTACCCAAACTTAAAAGTACCTAATCAGTTTGAACATGGATTCTACTCAAAGCAGTGAGAAGAGATCTTCACTGTCCACTGTTGTCCACCAGAGGACTCAAAGAGAAGCTCACCCATCCTTCAAAAACAGACACTTCCTCATATCCTCAAGCAGACATGAAAGATTTCAAGTTACCCTTATTTGTAGAAAAACAATATATTATGTTACCAAAATATTGATTAAAAAAACACAATTTATTTGCAGAAACTAATTACTGTAATATACTAATCAAGGTTCATCAGAGGGACCTGCAGTTCTTATGGATGGATGGATGGATGGATGGATGGATGGATGGATGGATGGATGGATGGATGGATGGATGGATGGATGGATGGATGGATGG